ATCCCAGCACTCGGGAGGCAGAGCCAGGCGGATCTCTGTGAGTTCGAGGCCAGCCTGGGCTACCAAGTGAGCTCCAGGAAAGGCGCAAAGCTACACAAAGAAACCCTGTCTCGAAAAACCAAAAAAAAAAAAAAAAAGACCAGAACACACTTATGGTTTCTCCCTGGTCATTGTCTAGGCACTATCTACAAACTATCTGGGATTACTGGGAAGGATTTTGATGATTAATTGTTCCATCGGAATTGGCCGCATGGAACTTTATTTGTATCACTTCCTAGCCTGCTGACTAAGATCAAGTGAAGTTTTATTCCTAAATTAATTTAAATCTCTCTCTCTCTTTGTACTAAACACAATAGCTACTACCAAAAACTTACAAGTCTGTCTTCCAGAATAGATTGTATGTCCCTCACTCTGGATATCAAGAAAAGCAAGCATCTTCATTATTGTCATGGATTTCATTTTAGATTACTATCCTGACTTCTCAGCCTGGAAAAGAAGTGATCAGACACCTGGAGGAAGGGCTGAAAGACATAAACCTGCTTAGTGTCAGAAGGCTGCAAGTGGTGGAGATCACGAGAGACATCCAAGAGCATATGGACTCACCGTCCCCCATTGAAGAACCCAGCAGTGGTGGTAAGAACTTTGCTTTTTGCTGTTTCCCATGCTGGTCTTGACCTAGCAGTCTTCCTGCCTCAAAAATGTTTATGTTGGGGCTGGAGAGATAGCTCAGTGCTCTAGTCACTTGTTGCTCTTATAGAGGATTCAGGTTTGGTTCCCAGCACCCACATGGTGGCTTGCAACTGTCTGTAACTCCAGTTCTGGGGGATCCCATGCCCCCTTCTGGCCTTAGTGGGCACTGAATATGCACATGGTACACAGAAGTACCTGTAGGTAAAACACCCATACACAACAAAAATAAAATAAATAAACCAATTATTTTTTTAAAGGGGAAAAAGTAGGGTATGACTGCCCATCCCTGTAACTGAAGCATCTGGGAGATGGAGGCTGGTAGCAGTGGAAGTCTACACTACATAGCAGTTTGAAGCCGGCTTAGGCTCCATGTGACTGGAGAGAGATTTCACCAAGTTTTCAGATTTGGTGACATAAAACACTTAGAATAGTGCCTGCCACAGATAAATGCCATGTGCTGGTGTTAATGATAGGACAATTGGAGTATTTGTAGTGCTTTTGAATATGCCTGTTACTGAGAAAATTTCAAACTCTAGTAATTTATTGTTTTACTAAAAGGAATATATGACCATCAAAATACTTTTCAACTTAGAAGCCTATCCCAATCCCACTGCCCATTACAGGATTTTTATTTTTGTACATTGCCACTCAGTTGTCCCTGTCACATTTATGCCCCATAGGTGGAATCTGTGTGTGTAATGTTCTGTTTTCATCTAACATAATGTAAAACTTTTACATAGTTCTCATAGTCCTTCGTTTCTGGTTTTTGTCTATTTTTGTTCCTCTTTCACTCTTAAAAGAAAATAAGAAAGTGTTTGCCCAAGAAATAGATACAGACTTTCACAGGGAAACCTGTATGCTTCCTTCACCCTATGCTCTTTACATGTGAACCAACCCCATATGAACAGCAAATTCCTAATGATCTTAATCATCTTAGGATCTAGGAAATTCTGCTAATTCTAGCACCCAAGACTGGCCTCGTAGAAGAGCCATAAATCATAGGAGTAATGTTGCTATCTTCTTTGGGGATTTTTTTTTTGTGTTGCTGTTTTATTTTTTATTTGTTATTAGTATGCGCATTTGCACCTATGTATGTGCATGGGGGGGGGACATGCATGTGGAAGTTAGAGGATAACTTTGGGGAGTTCATTTTTAGCTTTCCACCTTGTTTCAAAGCAGGGTGTCTCTGGTTTCTGCTGTTCTGGGTAGTCCAGGATAACAGATGTGCAAGCTTCCACATGATTCTCCTGTGGCTGCCTCCTAAGAATGCTGGGATTACAGGTGCATGCTACACCTTCCTGTGTGTTCCAGGGATCAAACTCGGGTTGTTGGGTTTGTGTGGCAAGTGCTTTTTACCCATTGAGCTATTTCACGCAGAAGTAAGGTCTTTTTAAGTATTTTCTTCTTGTTTTCCTATTTGCTGCAGTGTTGGGGATCAAACCCAAACATTCAACACTGGGCTAAATCTCTAGCTCCCTAGAAATAAATCTTGTGGGTTGGAGAGATAACTTAGCAGTTAAGAGTGCTTGATGCCCCGGGCAATGGTAGCGCATACCTTTAATCCCAGCACTCGGGAGGCAGAGGCAGGAGGATCTCTGTGAGTTCGAGGCCAGCCTGGGCTACAGAGTGAGTTCCAGGACAGGCTCCGAAGCTACACAGAGAAACCCTGTCTTGAAAAACAAAAGAAGAGAGTGTTTGCTGCTTGTAGCGGTGTGAATGAAAATGGCCCCCACAGGCTCGCACACTTGCAAGCTTAGTCCCTAGTCGATGAGCTGTTTGGATAGGATTAGGAGGTGTGGCCTTGTTGAAGTTTCAAGCCAATGCCAGGCCTAGTCTCCCTGCTCACCCCCATTCCCCCACCTCCCCACCCCTGCCTGCTACCTGTGTATCAGCATATCAAGCTCTCAACTATGCTCCGATGCCATGCCTGTCTGCTTCCCACCATGTGGATCATGGTCTAACCCCCTGAAACTGTAGCAAGCCCTCAATCAAATGTTTTCTTTTAGAAGAGTTGCCTTGGCCATGGTGTCTCTTTACAGCAATAGGACAATAAGTAAGATAATGCTCTTCCAGAGAACCCAGGTTTCCTATATCGCTCACTATGGGCAGCTTACAACCACCTTTAAACACAGCTCCAGAGGATCCAAGGCCCTCTTCTTGCTTCCTCGGGCACCCATATACATATGGCATACATTCACACAGACACACATGCATACATAATTTTTTCAAAAAAGAGAAAAATCTCAACTGGGATCCATATTATGGTACTTCTTAGGAGTGCCTAAAGCTTCATTCGTGTACTTTAAAGAAGTTAGAATTGGAACACGATGGTAGATAAAACACTCAATATCATTGGGGAGAATTCAGTTCTCCCCAAATTGACCTACTAACGTGATTCCAATCAAAATCCTATGAGAGTTTTTTGTCTATGAGAGTTTTTTGTCTATTTTGTCTTGGCTTGGTTTGTTTTTTTTTGTTTTTTGAACAAAAACACAGGGTCTTGCTGTGTAGTTCTGGCTGGCATGAACTTGTGGCAATCCTCCTGCTTCAGCCTCCTGAATGCTAGGATTACAAGTATGTACTGCCATGCCCAGCTTCATTTTGTTTGTTGTTTTGTTTTTGCTTTGCCAAAGCCTAGGTTACATATTAGCTAGGCTGCCCTGGAAAATAAGATTCTCCCATTTCAATCTCAGAAATACCGAGATTACAATTGTGTGCCCCCACACCCAGCTCACTTTTTCTGTTGTTGTTGCTAATCTGATGAGCTAATCCTATGGAAAGTGTGTGTGTGTGTGTGTGTGTGTGTGTGTGTGTGTGTGTGTGTGTGTGTGTATGTGCATGAGTGCACTCTTGTGCATGTATGAATCCAAGTTAAGGCACGTGTTAAAACTAAGGATTGCCTTGTCAGGTGTAAAAATGATGCATAGAGTTATTAAATAAGACAGTATTGGGGGGGCTTGTCATACAAGCCAACCACAGATCTTTTGCCTCACACAAATAGTGCTCTGGATATCTCACCCAGCACTACACACAATAACAGACAACATCAGATTGACACAAGAATAGACAATTTGTTCTGTCTGGAGCAGATTATTGATCCCAGAAGTAGAAAGTCACATGAAAACTTGATATGTGTTGTGGCTGCCATGGAAAAACAATGAAAAAAGATTAATCAATCATTCTAGAACTATCAACATTCCTTACAGGAAAAAGGGAAATTGGACCTTTACTTTACAAAATGTGTAACACTTTAAATGGATTAAAAACCTAAATATGAAAGATAGAACTTTTAGAAGAAAATGTATAAGGAAAAAATTTCTGTGATGGTTGGTGAGGAGAAAAAGGAAGTATTTCCCAAATGAGACACAGAGTCTGCTAATGATGGGGGACTGAATAAGTGTCCCTGTATTAAAAATCAGAATTTCTGTTTGTCAGAAGACGTCATGAACAAAGTAGTCAGAAAAAATCACAACTACATCTCTAACCCGTATAACCTGTAAAATACAAATTTGGAATACAAAATTTGAGACATCATCATAAAGCGGAATGTCACAGTGACTGAACCACGGCTATGTAGAACAATGTGAGGAGTGGGGAAGCAAGGAACTAAAGACACCCAGAGGATGGCGATTCTTCACAAAGCTCGGGGCATTAAAACAATAAGATAGTGCTTAAGGTAGTAAACTGCTCTCTAACAGGAAAAAGGATGACAAGGAATACAGTGTGTGGCGAGGCTTCCCCTGAAGATCAGAGAACAGCCACCAGACAGATCAGTGCTGTTGATGCTATTCTACAGCTCAAGTTAAACAAAAGACTTCATGACTGTCGGTTATTGTTGAGTTTTTGGAGCTTACATGAACACACATAGTATGTCTTCATTTGCATATATTAAATTTTATAATAGCCTTCTGAAGAATGGGTAAGCAATAAATATGCCAAAACTAAAAAGGCCACAGTGATCAATATCCTTTGGCATCTTGACGGCATCTGTCCAGGTTGACAACCGTCTGCACTGATTGGGTATCTAAGTCTTGAACCAGTTACAAATCAACTTAACGAGGCTGCCAACGAGCCTACATTTCTCGGCCGTGTACACAAGGATATCAGGTTCCTTTGCTAAGTGCTCACAAGCCATCTGTTTAAAATTTCCTCCCAGAGTTGACCAGGGATCGATGTCAAGCTCCCTTGGAAAGGTATTCTAGCCATATGTGTTCTCAGGAAGCACCAAATGTTAACAATCCAAACAAAGAAGGTAGAGATTCACTGCTTCTTAGAAGATTCCAGAAAGACCTAGGTAGGGACTGGGCATCCCCTCTGTATGTCAAGCAGTTGTCAGACTCCAGAGTCTCAGGGAGTGAGCAGCTGCTTGTCGAGTTTGTCTTCGATAACTGCATTAAAGTCATTTTCCTGTGGCATTAAGACTAAATTAGAAGCTCTGTTATGTTTGCTACCTAAAGATTTTTAACACAGACAGACATTTGTTTCATTAACAGAAGTCATGGTCTAAGAAAAATAGCAACCTCCCTTTCATAATTAAAGTAACAGGAATTTAGCAGAATATTTGAAGTTATTTGAAAATTGAGATTTTAAAAGTTTGGCCTTGCCAGTTTGAGGAATAACCTACACACCAGAAGTTATAGCCACTCAACACACACATGAGTTCTCATAGTAGTATACACCTGCAGATCATCACCTCAGACAGGACAGGAAACACTTCCATCATGTTCAAAAGGCCCCTCCCATTTCACTGCAGTCAATCCCACTGGTTACATTTAATATAAGTAGAATCATACATATATACCTTTGTGTCCAACCTTTTTCATTCAGATATTGAGATTTGTCCATGTTGTTTATATCAGTTAATTTCTTCTCATTGTTGAGTAGTAATATTTTACTTAAATGTTATATTTTGTTTAACTATTTTCCTGTTGATGGACACTTTG